TTTTGAGTAAAGCCAGGGTCTCTTCTGAATGAGTTAGCTTGAGCAGAGTCAGTAAAAGCTTGTGTTTACAGTCCCAGTGATGTCCTGACCTTCCATTGAGTCCCTGCAGTGCCTGCCTCTTTCATGGAGAGCAGATGGACCCAGCAGACACTGGGCTCCCCAGCAGAGAACCATGGGAGATCTGCATCTGCTGCGCCATCGCACACACAGGCATCTTCTAAAGGCCCTCAAAGGGAATTTGTAATTCTGTGCTATGGTGATAGATCTAAAATGGTGTGGTTTCTTGGTACCTGCGGGTCTGCTAGTCGTCCCAGGTCCGGATAAAGGTAGAACTGGATTCCGATCGAGGCACCAGGCAGGGTGAGCCCTCTGATCAACAGCACGATCAGCATCAAATAGGGGAAGGTCGCAGTGAAGTAGACCACCTATATAGACACACACATACAACAATGCAAACAAATATCAGATGTCATCTTTCAAGTACCCTAGAAATGTCTTTGGTCAAACTAAATAAAAAAAGGTCACCGACCTTTCCCGTGGATTTCACCCCCTTCCAGATGCAGAAGTAGCACATGACCCAGGCGATGAAAAGACACAGGGCCAGGTCCCAGTTCAGAGAGCCCATCTGATCAATGCCTGGGGAAATCCTCAGCGCTCTCCTCCTGCAGGGACGAGGACGGAAACACAGAGATGATGCATGGCTGTAATTTCACAGTAGGAGCGAATCGCCAAGAGGTCAAATCTAAACTCACTCCCAGAACTCCAGGACAGGAGAGGTGGCGTTAGGGTCGATAACTTCGTGGATTGAGGTGTTCCTTCTCGTAAACTCCACGCAGTTTTCTGCGGGAAAAGAGTGACATTTTCTTGAATGTATTGACAACATTAGTGGAGCTTCTCATGGTTTCTGCGGTTCTTAGGGTACCTGTGTTCCACGTGTTGTTGCACGACGACCAGGCCAGGTCCCAGGAGAAAGAGAAAGACAGGTAGAAAATCCCCAGGCCAGAACAATGATGTAGTAGAAGTTCAAAAGAGCCACTATCACCTGAGTGCCATAGCCAATACCTGCAGAATCACCCAAAGAAATAATCATTAACACTAGTTCTAGGATTTCTTTGTATATCAGAAGATATTGAGGAAGAAATAATATAGCAAATGTTCGTTCCTTACTACAAAATGCCATCTTTATTGCCTTATTGAGCCATCAGGTTATTATGTTATGGTTTCACGACCGTCTTTGACAGGTCTTGAAGCCCTTTTGCCATACAGTAGGATTAATTTACAATGGGGAAACCAATTTCTTAAATGACTGATTTTGACCTCATTACTTAAATGTTATAATGTATTTTTTTTAAATGCTGGCATGAGATGAATGAACTAACAGAGGGGAAAGCTTTATGGTTGTTTGCACAATAAGAAAACATAGAATGCAATGTAAGTAAAGAATAATGTGTGTGTGTGTGTGTGTGTGTGTGTGTGTGTGTGTGTGTGTGTGTGTGTGTGTGTGTGTGTGTGTGTGTGTGTGTGTGTGTGTGTGTGTGTGTGTGTGTGTGTGTGTGTGTGTGTGTGTGTGTGGTCCTTTGCTGAAAAAAATCCCCTATAGCTTACTCATTGAGAACTGACCAAACCGCATGCATGTACTGATCAGTAAGCATTTATTGACATCATTTCTTGTTTTTCCTCCTTTGGCCAAAGGTTATAAAACTTTCCTACCCACCTTCAAACAGCGGGCTGATTTTCCTCCAGCAGGTGATGCCTCCCTGGCTGGTGTACTGGCCAAGAGCCGTTTCCAGGAAAAAAACGGGAACGCCACAGGTGAACAGGAAGATCATGTAAGGGATGAGGAATGCACCTGAGTGAAGAGAGAAGAAAGGATTCTGGCTTTGAGCCTGTTCTGTTGGTGAATGCTTTCGAGGCCATATAGGAAAAATGCTTTGTAGTCCATATTAACATATCTAATTGTTGGTACTATGTGGAGTAACATCTATCTCTTGTGCCTTTCCAGGAGGGGCTGTAATCTTTCCATTCGTGCATTGGGTGATAATAAGGCAGGCAAACACCATGACTTTTATCTATTGTAGTTAAATGAGAAGAAAAAAAAAACTCATGTCACGTGTTTGTGACATAAGAATTGTTGTAATACTGGCTTAGGCCACAAGAGGCTGAAATGCATCACTACCTCGTACGAAAAATACTAAAAGCCTTCCTATTTTCTGACTAACACACAACAATTTATGTTCTTTGTGTTAAAGTAAATTAAATTAAAGCTTAACAGGATACAAATAATGATTTAATCCCATTTAGAACTTGATGTTGCTTCTTGTGGTTAAAATTACAAAAACAGACACTTTTTTTTGTCAATTAATTATTACAATTATCCTGACCAAAACATCACCGCCAAATCTTCAACAATCCTTGAAACTCAATAAGCTTCTTCTTTTATGATTTTTTCTTCTCAGTTTTCTTACGTGGTGCTTTTATAATGCAGCTTGAAGTTGTTTAGCTGGGGGTCCTTATATCCGCTGAGACTTTTTCTTAAGTTTATATCTCATGTAAATATCAAAACTTAATGAAACAACCTTTAATTGAATAATTGTTTGCAGGAATTCAATCCTAAAATAAAGGTGTAGATAAGTTTAACATCCTTAAAATCAACAAGGCCTCATGAAGCTTTGCGACCATTGATCCAGAGGACACGTGTGCAGAGTTACAATCTTAATACAACCCAGAGCCTTCTTTTAGCAGCACAAATGTGGATCCAAATATGAAAGCAGATCCAAAAGTTAGAGTCACTCTCTAGGTGTTAAATCGGTCGACCCTCTTTCTCCCTCCATGGGGGCGGGGGGGTCAGAGGTCAGAGCCGAGCGAGGTCACGCTGCCATGTGGACAGAACTTTTCTCAACTTTCGAAGCGAGCAACGGAACAAAGTGACGCGACGGAACTACAATACAGTTCGGCAAAGCGTGACGTCACCCCATTCAAAGTGAATGGGAAGCGTCTCCGTAAGTCCCCTGCATGTGGAGTATCCTTTGGAAATATGCAAATCTTAAGGAAACGTTACAAGCAGGGGCGGTTCTAGGGGGGACCAGGCGGGACCAGTGCCCCCCTAACACTGACTTTGGACCCCCATGTGGCCCCCCTGAAAATGAAAAAAAAAAAAAGTTTATGATTAAACGATTTCTTGGCTGACGGAATAGGCGGAACCAACGATATTTGTCATTCTAGTCGGACCCATTAGAGCAGGGGTCTCCAACACGTCGATCGCGAGCTACCGGTTGCTCGCAAGCCCTCAATAGCCCCCACTTTACAAATATGTTTATTTTTTTTTTTTTAACGCACGCCGTCATTGCCACGGAGGAGCACACAACCTCTGTGAGCGAGCACACCTTTATCTATTTAATATAGTTGTAAAAAATGAAGTAAGAAATCATTCCAATGTGTACTATAGAACAGTAAAAAAAAAAACAGTTTAAAAGGGGAGTGATTAGTAAAATATGCAGTGGCGACTGGTCATTAGGGGCAGGGCACAGCCCCACCTAGTGTCAGCAGAAAGTATTAAAAGTAATGATTACAAAAAAATGCAAAAAATAAATTAAAAAATATATAAAATATATTTTAAGATCATGTTTATTCATCTGATTCGTCTGTACATTGCTGTTTTAGTCTGTGTTCTTCTAATTAGTGTCTACAGTGTGTGCCTATTGAGCTGTTTTAAGCCATGTGGGACAAAACCCGATCCTGCCCCTCCCTCTCCCTGTTTAAGTCAATGGTGACTGTAAAAACTACACTGCGCATGCTCAGAGTATTGTCCTATTTAATGTGTGTGGCAAAAAAATAATGACCATAGGGGCATAGTGCTGCCATCCCCACCATACGTCATCTCACATAATTCAGAGCTGATTGGCTGTAAGTACGTGTGCCGCGAAAAGTGTGGTGTGTGAAGAGGAGGAGAGAGAGCTGCAGTGAGGCGTCCTAAAACCCGGAAATAAACTGCGCATGGCTTCCCTCCACAAAAAAGCAATGATATTTCTCCATAGGATTTTAGAAAATAGCTCAAAATAAGATCTGTGGGAAACAAACCTGTTAGATAAATGCACGTTTTGTTCAGCCGGATAATATCCACATGTCTACCCTACTTTTATAATTTTCGAATCATAAATCTATTGATTAGATCAGATTTATGATAGACTTTTGAAACTACAAGAACATAAGGGGGACTTTTACAAAAAAGTAATAGAGATTTTTGTCCAGAAGGATAGGCAAATGGACTTCATCTTCATGTCAAGGTAAGACTGCAATTTGATTGAAAATGGGATCTTACTAAGAGAGAACAATTCAATATTTAAATGATACAATTACATTTTTTGGGTATCCTTTTGTTGAACTGTCTGTTTAAAATTAATTGAAGCATCAGACAAAAAAAGCTTTTGAAAATAATATGATATTTTGATTTAGGTCAAAATATAATATTTGTAAACCTGAAGAGTCAGAGCCTCACCAGCCATGAACCTCAGAAGCTTATATATAGACATCTAAGTTTTTTGTGCCCCACCACTTTTGTACATATAAAAACGCCACTGAAAATATGCATAAATAAAAAGAAATAATGCTAATTAGTAGGGGTGTAACGGTATCCGTATTCGTCCCGTACCGTCACGGTTCAGACGTCACGGTTCGGCACACGCAGTCACACGACGAATACGCCTTTTTTTTTACGAGTGGGAAAAAAGTCTGTCATTCAGGGCAGTATCCACTACACTATATATAATCCAGGGGGCGGTATTGCGCCTAAAAGCTGTTTGCCAGCCGCCCTTAAACAACAAATGAAGAACAAGAAGAAACACAACAACAAACGAACAAAATACAAGAAGAAGAAAAGTTAGTATGGCGATTTCAGATAACACAGGAGCTAGAACCCACCTGCTTCTTTTAAATCAGCTGTGTGGGAACATTTCGGGTTCCCTGTGGACTACAATAACGATGAAGTGTGCGAGTGGTGGATCGGACGAGTGGTGGATCGGACGAGGACGGTGTGTCGGCGTTGTTCTACAGTGGTGCGGTATGCTAATGGTAACACACGCCAAACATGCTAAATCATATCAGAAGGCATCACCCAGATTTGCCAATCACCGGAGCCTGGCAAAAGACAACAGCAGTTCAACAGCTGATCCCCGCTGTTTTTAAGAAGCCAATAAACATGAGAGCCGAGAGACCAAAATAAATAACGGAAGCTTTTGGCATATGTTTTTCAACGACTTTGCGCTCTTGAAACACTTTCTTATTATTTATGATGTCATATTTTCAAGACATTCTTCTTAGTTCTACAGCTTGATGAAACCTTTTTGTTTGACATCAGCCATTATAGATAATCTGGCCATCTGAGTGTACTGTGTATGGTTTGTTTTTAACTGTTTAATACAGTTAATTATTCAAAATGTCAGAGTTCTTTATTTTTAAACTGAAACTTGCACTACTGTTCAAACATAAATAACAACAAACCTGGAATTATGCATTTGGGACTTTTTTTTGCTTTTTCTTGTTGTACCGAACCGTACCGAACCGTGACCTCCAAACCGAGGTACGAACCGAACCGTGACTTCTGTGAACCGTTACACCCCTACTAATTAGGTAACATAAGATAAGAATAAACAAGTTTAAATGATTTGTTATTGGTTGTGATCATATTCTAAAGATGTTTGGATTAGTAAAAAGTATACAGCTCCCTTTCATATGAGTGTTGAGAGCTGTATCCACAAATTCATTATGTGCTCAAAGTGCACCAGATTGATGCATTTAATTTCAACATTTAAAAAAGAATCTTCCCCCCTAGAGGATGTGAGGTCCACCCCCAAATAAAGCAGGTTCAAATAATTTAATTGCATACAATTTATTTTATTAAACACTGAAAACGGGTCCCACAGACCCAAACAGCACACAAAGGTTAAAGGTAAGCATATCATAATGTGTAATGAAACTAATACCAATAACTGTATTGCATTGTTTTCTTATGCGCAATTACTTCATACTGTCTTTTTCGTCCTGCATTTATTGTGCCCCCCTCAGAAAATAACTGGCCCCCCCAGTCAAATTGGTCTAGAACCGCCACTGGTTACAAGATACATGATAATGATTCATGGAGAAAGACTCTGCCTCCACCCCTCTCTTCCTTTACCTATTACTGATACATAAAACCTATAAAAAGCTTGTTTATTTTCCTGTCTATAACTTAAAATCCCGCTATTGTTGACACTGGATCACTGTGGAAATGTCTTGATCGACGTCTAGTGTAGATGATGTTTTACTACATGAAAGAATACATGCCTGAATGTATCTGAAGTTCTAATTCTCAATGAGAATATGCAAGATGTACTGGGGGACTTACAAAATAAAAATAAAAACCTCTTAAATGCTATTTTATTTACATGTAGACCTGACACACTGCACTCTCTTTCAAGCATTTTGTGTTGATGCCCCGTTGGGTGTCCGGGGATATTTGTCGTGCTCAGATTTTCGCCTCTCTGCAGGGACAGCTGCTGAGAGCAAGGAGCAACACCAGCTGCCTGACCTCACTCGGCTCTGACCTCTGACCCCCCCCCCCGCCCCATGGAGGGAGAAAGAGGGTCGACCGATTTAACACCTACACAAGCATGCCCAAAATCTGATAGTTGGATATATGTGACTTCCTTCATCTGAGCTCAAGGTGAGATGATGCTGTATGTTGGCTTGTGCATGTTCTAACCGAAGAGTGTATATATATTACACTACAAAAAAGGATCACATACCAGTGGACAGGACTATTGACGAAATTGGGGTTAAGTATCATCACCAAGGGCAATTGGACATGTTGACTGCTGGGATGAAAACAATGACTCTCTGATTGGTAGATAAGCCTGATCCATGGCACTCGTAAAACAGGACACTTAATGGACCACACGATACTCAAACACTGACATTTACATTACAATTAAAATAAATGCATTCATTGACCCATTTTCACCCATTGTGTCCTTTCCTGTTTTTGAATTGTTGTGTTTTTTGCCTTTGTAATACATGGAGCATATGTTTGTATGTGTGTGTAACCTTTCAGTCATACACATCCAACTGCATAAAAATGTACAGGTTGACGTAAACATACCTGTTGGAGATTGAACCATGGGGGCCCCAAATATGCAAAGCATGTACATGTTCTCACATGTTTCAAGTTCATGTTAGCTGTCATAAATGTACTTATTAAGTGCATGTAAAAATACTGCATGCTTGCCGCACAGTGAATCTTACATGCAAATTTACTGTATGTCTTTAATTCATACCTCCTGCCATTGCTGACAATCATTTATGAAGTCCAGATGAAACAGACTTGCTTTCACCCACTCCTTTCACACTAACCTCCTCCATTCTTGTAGCAGAGGTAAGGGAAGCGCCACATGTTGCCCAGGCCGATGATGGAGCCGGCGACCGACAGAATAAACTCCATCTTGTTGTCCCACTGGCCCCGCTCCTCCATCTTTTCCTCCGATGGGGCCTTCTGGACTTTGGCCATGGTGCCATTGGGGATGCCCGCTTTGGCAGCGTCTCCTACAAACCGGACAAAGAGAAGAGGATGCAGCAGCTTTAAAGGCACGTCGGGTTGTTTTCAACAGTCAATATGCCATGAAGCAAGGCACTAAGGACAGCAAACAGTTCCAACTGCAGGGTGGGCTACATTAGAATAATGTCGTTTTTATTGAACATCGATAAGAAGGATGGTATAAGCATGCACGTGGAGTCCTTTTCACTTAAAACCTTGTCTATTAGTAAGCACGATATGATTGGATAGTGTAGCTTCTAGTTAACCAGCTTTGTAAATCCCTGTCAAAAGTTTAGACAATTTCACGATGTTGTTTTAAATGCTCACTTTTTCTTATGGTTTACTAATAATGTTTGTATATTTCCGTTTATATTTTCAATTCTTTCAGTTTTTATTGTACTTTTTTTTGTATTTATAGTTTTTTTTTCTATTCTATACATTTGTGTAATTTCTGTTGCCGGAAAAACATAATGATGGTTAAAAAAAAGTATTATATTAATCTTGCAAATGTGATATTTAACTGAAAACACACACAAATGTGACACATTATGAGCTTTTTTATAAACAATTTTCTGTTTTAAATTGCAATCCATGAAACATTTATTTTTTAACATTTAATGATAACTGTGGTAATCTGCAATGCAATCAACAATGTGTCCTTATATATTAATTAAAGAAAATAGGAATAAAGCTTATCAAAGGGACCTGCTCGGAAATGTGCATGGTCTTAAATAAAAAAATGTGCAGTTAAAATCACCAGAAAATCAATTTGCAAAAATGACATAAATAACGTACCTTTCATTGCAGTGTCACCGGGTCTTCTCTGTATCTCTGCAGCAGTCTCTGGAGGTTTATCTCTAAATGCTCAAGTTTTAGGATTTAAATGAGTGGAGTGAGGGGTGGGTGGGGGGGTGGTCTGTAATGCTAAACTAGGGCCGGCCTCTTTCTTTCCTTTGCCTTTCGTCTAACCCTTTCCGAGCAAAGTACATCTCCTGTCAAGAATCCATTCTTAAAATAAAGTGCAAAATAGGATCCCAATTGGATTAAATTAGATGATATTGCGTGAATTACAGCTGCAATCGACCACCTCCACTGTATTCCAATTAACTAATGTAAATGTATCTTAATAATAAGGCTTGGATTTGGGATTTCTCGCCTTTCTGAAATATAGTTCTTCTCAATTTCCTGCCAGAGGTCAAAGTTTTTCGCTGCTGAAATTAAAACATTTTAAAAGTCAACTCGGGCATTTTGATGCATTGATGGAAGAAACCAGTGGTGCAAAGTATACCTTTACTCAATAATAGTACTTAAGTACACATCTTAGGCACTTTACCAGAGTATTTTCATTCTATACTTTATACCTCAACTATACTACATTTTGGAAGCTATTTTTGAGCTTTTTACTCCTCTACAATTAATTTACCGATTTATTTAATAGCTATTTAAATTAAATGTTTTAATGTAATTAAATACGATTGGTTGGTATAGATTAAACAATATGAGTGGGTTAACAGAAATGTAATTGGCAGCAATTGTGTTATGTTTCCACAGTTCCAGCTTCTTAGATGTGAAGTTTATTCAAAAATATTTAGATATTATTTGAGTTTTCTCTCCCATGAGTACTTTTACTCCTCATACTTTAAGTGTATTATCCTAATCATACTCTACCATTGTGAATGCAGTACTTTCACTTGAAATGTAGTATTTTTACAGTGTAGTATTAGTACTTTTACTCAAGCAAAGAATCTGAATGATTTTTCCATCACTGGAAGAAGGGTACAAAGAATTAACAGCACACGTTTCTGATTTCACACAGCAGTATGTCTACCAATCTTGCTTGGGGAGAAAGACGTGAGCAGAAAACAAATCACAGAAGCAAACCAACCATATAATGCTATAAAGAGATGGTTATTAACGCCTTTGTGCTCATTAGGAGAGCCAACGGTCGTACATTCCTCTCTCAGGCAGGGGGGTCTACACAACAAACAGTGGGCGATGAAGTTACGCAATCAATTATGTCCCATTACGGTTGATGTGTTGCGGCCCCTCGTGATTACATGCTTCTAACTCAGCACAGTGACAGGTGAGGGACCTGACGGAGGCAAAAGTAGCTCCGGTCCGTTCGCACCGGATTTCACTTGGTTAGAGTTAGAAGAGACAAACCCTTCTCACCTCCTTCCTTTTTACTGTTTATATATTCATGTGTCAATCCTAGAAAATTGGCGCTTTTCCCCCACCTAGAAACATGAAGGAACCATGTTGAAACAACAAGAATCTAAGTAATAGTATCTGAAAAAAGGGTAGATAAAAATCAATATGATGTGTAAATTAATTGTTTTGCACAAAATGCATGTTTTAACCGCATATAATGAAGGGAAAAAACATATTCAACATGCAATTTTTCCTACCGGAGCTCCACAACATGCCAACACATGTCTCACCTAATTGAGCTTAATGAGCAACACAGGAAATGTGAAGATTAACTCACAACTTACCTCTCTGTGACATAAGAGGCCACAAGTCACGTTTGAGGCCTAGGAATGTGACCCAACAATCATTCTGACGCTTCAGCAGAATCAAGAAAAACAAAAATGCAGTATTTGCAATACTTTGTTTCATTCTATCCTCTCTTCATTTTCTCTTTAAGACAAAAACAGGTCATTCTTTACATTTTTCCTAAATATAAAAAAACAGGGCAAAACTAAAACAGACTAATTCAAACCAATACAACATTTAAAAAAGCATCACAATTGTTTTTCATTTGACTAGGAATAGTTTATTAAAAGGTGAGAAAAAAAGAAGAAAAAAAGCCACAATCCATTTTTTTTAATCGCGTAAAAGTATGTACATTATAAATAATTCCACTACATTACAACCATTTGTTTTGGCTAGTCTGGAGTCCTACGTATTGAGATGTTACTGAGGGGCCAGGCCAGGTGGGGGGGGGGAGGCAGATCAGGATGTCCAGTAAAACAAAGACTGGGGGGACACGATTGTTTATTTGCACTGAATACAACAGCTGGAGGAAGTGTTTGACTGTAAGAAGGTGCACTGAGGATCAGGAAGTAGCTGGTGGGCGTTTCTACACCTAGAAATGTTGCAGGACGACTACATCTTGTGTGTTAGCTGAAGCCACACAGGGACACTGTTCTTATCTCCGTCTTTAAGATGCATCTTCTTTCTTGTGCTCTATAATCCGGACAGTTACAGTCTTCCATACACCCTAAGATGTCGTACATTGTGTGAGGTACAGTATTCAATCTCAGTCTTAGTATGTTCTGTAAATGCTAACTGCCCTGCTGAGGCTCTGGCTGATGTGAGGCTGCTGGGTGTAGTAGAGTGGGTGTGTGCGACCACGAGGCCACCACTGATGGCAGGCGTTGCACACTGCACATGGATGTGGACAGCACTACGACGCTCTCCTCCGCCACCTCCTCCACCGTGACCCCTAAGTCCCCCCCGCCGGCCTTGCCGATGCAGTCCATGCAGACGTAGTCCTCGTTTTCGGCCATTTCGCACGTAACGCCAACGCACACCTGGTGGAACCACTCGTCGCAGCCGCCGTCGCACTGCACCCAGTCCACCTGGATACACACAGGAACACATGTGAGTACATTAAAGCCCCAGTGAGACAGGAGCAGGAGCGTCTATACTGTGACATATAGAGTGGTGCAGTGATGATGTATACTTGTAGGCCGACCCAGAAGTTAGCATCACATGTGAACTACAAAAAGGCAATGGGGTCATTTAATAGGATTTTGGAATATTACAGAAAATAAGCTCTGTGGCAAACATGTTTATTAACCTTACATGTAGACTATAAAAGAACTACACTGTCAAATGTCTTCAAGTCACCACTGATAAGGTAAAGGTGGCTAATGTTCGGGGAGTAGTCTCATTTAGCCACTTGTTAGTAACCGTTTAGAAGACACATAGAAGCTTCAGACATTCACCAGTGGGGTACTGACATATCTTTGTCGTAAAACACGTGAAAATCTCCTAAACTTGAGTTAACCATAGACCTTATTTCAGGCTTCTATCCTTAAATTAATTTAAAAAAAAGCTTACTACGAGACTAGGTAAACCTGAAAGAGCTAAAATGCTAACTCATATCAGGGTTATGGACATATTCCTGCACCACTTTATTTTCCAGAGACGCTGAATATTTGAGGGGTATAGTTAAAAGAGCGATTTAAATCAAATCCATTGCATCTGATTGGACTGCCTAAAAGTGGGCGGGCTTAAAATATTGGTTGCTCCACACACACGTCCTTATAGCTGCAGATTCATCGATGGACAGATATCACAAATGTTTTGGTTGAAGTGTGTTGGTACTAGCTTACATAATCGCATGTCATGCATTGTTTTACAGGAGAGGAAAACAATTGTTGGGATAAAAAAATACAAAAAAGAGGATTTTTTGTTGTAAAATATGACCATGGATGTAATCTATAAGGGTTAATAATGATTTTTTTCATCCCCACTCAAAGGAAACATTATGACAATTATTCAAAAAAAGCATGTGGCACAAAATTCAGGAAAACGTGTGGGTAATTTTTTACCAGCACACGTTAAAGCTGCAAGTCAGTCATTATTTGATTGATCTAATGTACTGGAGTAAACTGGCCAAACACTGATGCAATGTAGATGATCTTGTGTGTTATACACCACTAACCTGTGTAGAATAACAAAACTAACTGAACTAAAGTGCACCTTTAAAATGACTAAATATCACATACGTTGGAATGTGAAAAGGAAACCGCAGAGTTAATACTCTGCATGTCAATAATACCGCACGACTGTTAATCATCAGGTGTTGTCAGTTCCAGTTAGGAGCGCCTCCTTCCTTATTTCACCATCTCCACCCCACCCACTGAGGTGCAAGCCTACCAGTTCCTCCACTTTGATTGGACGGAGCCTGGCCACTGGTTAACACTGTGTCGGAGAGCAGTGCTGTCTCAGGGTCTCAGTGCTGTCTCAGGGTCTCAGTGCTGTCCGCATCAGTGTGTCCTGTTAATAGGTGATATGTAACTCCCTCTAAGGTGTTCCAGTGCGGTTATCAGCTGTTGATATTCAATAACGTTCCATGAAGTTCATTTGGAAAAGTGTTTGTTATTAACTCAGCAAACAAACGGAACCAGTGTCATCCACCTCCAGGTGTTTACAGCAAACGTCACGCGATGAAACCAGAATTTTCTGCCTTTCTCCCTTGTTAGTCGGGGATGTAACTACAAGGGTCACATTTTAATATGGCATTATGACAGTCAGTCTGCACCTGGTGGGGTTACATAATGCAGATTAAATGCATATTAAAGAGACTGCTAGTGGGAGCAACTTAAAGGATACTATTATGGTAAAAAAATCACTGCATCAGGGAGTATTATTACACCTTTGAATATAGAGTGAGCTTTTTAATTAAAAGGGGATGTGTGAAAAGTCAATGTTAAAGCCCAGCCTCCTTCATTGTGTTATAACAAGTTTCTCTAAAGTCAATCTGTGGTTGTCTAAACGTGAATGACTAGAAATGAGTATGTTAACTTAATTCTAAATTGACGATACAAATTGCTAAAAATGTTTAGATAAGAGCT